TATCTATAATTAAATGAGCACTTGGAAGTGCTAAGTTTACGGAAGAATTGAGATAAAAATCCATGCATCACCCAGGGCGTATTTGTTCTAGAAGAAAACCCTAAAATATAGAAGAAAGCAGAATTTTATGGAATTCCAAATTTTCTTAAGATGGATGTGTGATCTCCAAATTCTATGAAGTGATCAAGGCCAAACTGCCACCACCAACACCTGTCCCCAGGAACTTTCTCCAGTGGCCTCGTCTCCACTGATCTCCGTTCTCCACACTGGGGCTAGATGGATCTTTTAAAAGTAAAATCTGGCTAAATTGAAGTCCTGATTAAAAACACACACAGGCTTCCCATTGCCTTAAGGATAGAGATCAACATGCTAAGGGCAGCCCAGGGCCCTGCTTATCATTGTCCTGTTAATACTGATGGTAACAACATGAACAGCTGGAATCAAACAATAGGCAACATCTATGGAACCATATGTGCCAGCCATTCTTTTAAGACTCTTTCATTTACTATCTCACTTAATCCTCATAATCACCATGTAAGAACTATTATTATTCTCAAAAAGTTATATAATTTCCCCAAAGTCAGTCAGTACATTCCACTGTAGAGGGCCCACTTCATCAGGCTCCACAATTTCCTGCCTGTAGTTCAGCCCCAGCTGGGTTCCAGTTTCTTGAATACACCCTACTCTTTCTTTCCTTCGAGCCTTCGCACATCATCAATCCCCTCATCGTGGCTGTGTCTGTTTCCCTCACTACTAGAGAGTAGCTCCTGCTCATTTTTTTCAGACCTCGGCTAAACCACACCTTCCTCAGAAAAGACCCCAGAGCCTCCTAACTTCCTAACAAGACCAGTCATCCCGCCCACATGCACTCTCACTGCATTCTGTACTTGCCCTTCACGATTCTGGCCACAATTGTCATTAAATTGACTTGTTCAAATCATTATTTAGTAACTGCCTGTTAGGGCTGCTGAAACAAAACACCAAATACTTGGGTGCCTAAAAACACCAGCCTTGGTTCTGGAGGCTGGAAGTCGAGGTGTCAGCAGGGCCAGGCTGTCTCAGACAGCTCTAGGTGAGAATCCTTCCTGGTGGCTTCTAGCTTCTGGTGTTTGCCAGCAGTCCTTGGCATTCTTGGCTGGCAGATGCATCACTCCAGGCCCATGGCCATCTTCTGCCTGTGTGCCTGCACATTGTTTCCCCTCTATTTGTATCTGTCTCTGAGTCCCAGTTTCTCCACTTTTAAAGACACCAGTCATATTGGCTTAGGGCTCATTCTAATGCCTCATTTTAACTTGATTACCTCTGTAAAGACCCAATAAGGTCAGATTGCGAGGTACTGGGGCTAGGACTTCAGTGCACCTTTTTGGGGAGACACAGTGCAACCTATAACATTGCCTAAGAGATTAAAACAGGTTCCAAGAGAAAAAATACCATGTCATCTTGTTCCTTAGCCACATATTATACATAATAGGCACAAAACTAGATAGTTATGAAATGAATGAAAGCCCATATTTAAGAGGTATTATTGAAAGACTCCTGCAGTTAATCAGGACCCAGAAGCTCAATGCCTCCAGCACCAGGCAGTAACATAAGCTTCTGAAATGGGCCCGGTGAACCTGAAGAGGTGGTCTAGCCGGCTTTGGTTGATTGCTGCCATGAAAAAGCACAGGCCCAAATGTTCGTGAGAAGTCAGATACCCACACTGTTTTAGAAGGCACCTTTCCATTTCAAAATGAAGGCAGCTCAGTGTTCAAAAATAAACACTGTTGGTGGCAATAATACTTGTCTACAGGATGAACATGGTCCCACAGGCCCCTGATGGCGGCCTCTGGGTTAAGGTCACATCAGAAGCCCTGTGAGGTCACATCTACAATACAATGCAATGACTCTCTTGGGCAATGATATGTGTGCAAACCTCTCACCTCAAGTACAAGCTAAGGTTAGGGGGCGAAGCACTTTCCTCAGTGCAATATTCAAGATGTCAAAAACACCATAATCAAGATAAACATTCTAATACAATCTTTTAAACATTGATATTAATGCAAAAAAAATCCACAATGAACAAAAGTTCAAAGTTTGAAATAAAGACAGGGCCGATCTCACCCTACACTTGCATGTGTTGGTCTCACTTGCTTTACCCCACCCCTCACCCTGCTGCCCCATTTCAGGAATACTTACCTTCCCTGCTCCACCACACATGGGACTCCCCCTGCATCAGCTCCCCTTCCCTGGAGCTCCAAGTCCTGGGCTACGTTACATAAGAAGCAGCCCTTTACCACTCAGAATGCTGTGCCCACACATGCCCTGCACTGCCAATGTCATGAATTAACTTACACTTCCTGTGGGTTCTCCAGGATGACAGGGAGCATCTGAGACTTTTCCTAAGCAGCCACTGAAAATACAGACCTTTTCACCCACCATCACCACAGACTCCCCAATGCGATGATTAACGTGCGTGATTAGGTAACAGCAGAGGGCAAAATGTTAACTCGTGGTTGTCACAATCTCTCCAGGCTTTCATAGACCTTAAGAGTCACAAGACACATCTACATCACAGCAGGACTGACATAACCAATTCTGCAAATAATTCTATGAACTGTCAAAGCACCCACTGGGAAAACAATTCAAACTAGCATAGGACCTGCAATACTACATAATCCCTGAAACTGTAATTTAAATTAAAAGCAGGATATGATGAGGAAAGTTAAGCTTGGCCCCAAATTCCTGTGAAATCTCCTTTATACTCTTTTAGAAGATAAAAACACACGATTAGACAATTAATGTATTTTGATCAGGACAGTTACCTGATCATATATCCTGACAGCACTCCTCTGTAAATCTTCCCTGTTCTTTTACTTCTGAGAAATTTGATCACAATTGCCGAGTGTCCTGACTTACACTCATAACACCTTTTACATTTGTCTCTATGTCTGGCTTCCTCTACTAGACTGAAAGCTCTCAGAGGGCAGGTATTCTATCTGAATTCTTTTTTATTTCTTAGAACATAGACTAGGTATTAAAATGTCTGAATAAAATACCACCACCACCACAACACACAAAATCAAAGGATTTCATGGTAACTCTGACATTTATCATCAAAAAGCATTTAACTCACATCAAGGTATTTTTGTTACAATGAAAGTCACCATATTTCTTCCAGGCCCTTCATTACCCAGGTCATCCTATTATCATGAAAGTCAGCATAGTCATTGGTGAAGATTACCAGCTGCCTAGATTCAGGTCCAGGCCTAGTCACCTATTAGCTGCTCCTTGTTTCCTAATCTATGAAATAGGGATGAAAAAAACAATCAACCTCAACTTGTTAATGAAAGTGCCTGTAATATAGTAAGAACTCAATAAACATTCGTCCCCATTAATACTATCATTCCCGTTGATAGCTCGGAATCATGGAGAGAAGGGAAAGGAAATTGGGTCTGAGATAAGAAGTGAAACAAAAAAGGAAAAGGCCTGTTATCTTCTAAGGTTTGGCCCAGCAAACACGGACTTTTAGGAACCAAATCAGCAATTGGGATTCAGGAAGGAATCAGGAAATCGAGGCTGCAAAAAAGGGAGTCAAATTCCAGCCTTTCTGTTCTAGATAGAAAAGGACTTCGCAACTCAGGCAACTTCTTTCTAGGGCAGGGAGCTTGTCCAGAGTCCCTGATGCAGGAGAAGTCCCTACCAGGATACAGCCAACAAAGGATGAATAAGTGGGATCCAGTTAGGTTAGGAAAGGAGACAATCGCTGGGTTCACAAGGCTACAGTGGGGGCCCAGAAACAGGCATCATGTTCTATTCTCACCAT